ATAGAAATTAAAAAAACAGTTGAACCACCTACCTCACCTTTAGGACTGTGAAAAAAATTTTCTGCATCATTGTATCAAATTGATCTCTGTGAAGTCTAGTGAAGACTGTTCCACACATAGGACAATTAAGTAAATGAGCGTTGGGTGACCATAGGAACAGAGCAGGAAACATCTGGAGAAATGCAAGTTAATAAAGAGAAGGTGAATAAATGCAGTTTGACCTAACTAGTCATTTCAAGAGTAATTTCACCGTCAGCCTCTGTAGTATCATCTCTCCCCTTCCTTGTAAACGGAGATACGAAATTAAAACTATTGAAGTGTATATATACCTTTAGAGATTTCTTTAGAGATTGTTTACATCCTCTGACTGTCAAGAAAGGCACAGTATTTTGTTTCCTTCAGAACCTTTCGCAAATGATCTTTGCTGCCAGTTCCCCCTGCCAAAAATAATTAAAATACAGCAACAGTGAAATGCCCTTGGTAGCGCTCCTCTGCCTTTGTTTTTTAAAGGTGAGTGGTAAGGCTCGCACTTGGCACTTCACTGTTTGCTCATTAAATAGGGATGGTCTGAGAAATCTTCATTTGCTAATTACGGGCTTTAAGGGTAAAAAAGGAGAGCCTTAAACCTTTAAAGGCTGAGAAAGGCAACAGCAGTGTTAGAATCATAGAACCATTAAGGTTGGAAAAGACCTCTAAGATCATCAAGTCCAGCCGTCAACCCAATACCACCATGCCCGCTAAACCATGTCAGTGCCACATCTACACGTTTTTTGAACATCTCCAGGGATGGTAACTCAACCACTTCCCTGGGGAGCCTGTTCCAATGTCTGACCACTCTTTCAGTAGAAAGACTTTTTTCCTAGTATCCAATCTAAACCTCCCCTGACACAACTTGAGGCCATTTCCTCTTGTCCTATCACTGACTACTTGGGAGAAGAGACCAACAGTCACGTGGCTACAGCATCCTTTCAGTTAGTTGTAGAGAGCAATAAGCCTCCTCTCCTCCAGACTGAACAGCCCCAGCTCCCTCAGCCACTCCTCATCAGACTTGTTCTCTAGACCCTTCACCAGCCTCGTTGCCCTTCTCTGGACACGCTCCAGCACCTCAATATCCTTCTTGTAGTGACGGGCCAAAACTGAACACAGTACTCGAGGTGCAGCCCCACCAGTGCCAAGCACATGGGGATGATCGCCCCTCTCCTCCTGCTGGCCACACTCTTCCTGCC